CACTGCTCTGTTGTCTCCTCTGAGGCTGGGACTCTAAACAGTGTTCTGTGCTCATCTGTGAGCTGTGCCAAAGACAGAACAGTTAGCATGTTTTGCTCAAACTTTCGCCATGGCATTAGAGCTGGTACACCGTTGTCGCTTGCGAAATCAAAATGACGGCGCCGTGGGGGGAAACTTACAGATTAAGGGGCGGTAATATTATAATGAGATCCCTTTGCCACGTCACCAAGGGAGCGAAATCAGACGCATTCATTTTTTCAGACGCTTGCAGAAAAAGGCTTATCAAAACAAAGTTACTGGGTTAATCTTTTTAACTTTCCAAGGTTGGTAGATGCACCGGGGACCTGATTATAGCACTTAAAACCTGGAAAAGTCAGATTTTCATGATATGTCACCTTTAAAAGTTTACCTTTGTGTCTCATTCATAGAAAATGTTTCCTTTTCCTTGGGAGAGTAAAGGATTCAGGTATCAGTGCTTTAATGGACTTTTATTCTAAGGTGTTTTTTTTAAGGACATAAAGAGGGACGTAGAAGAAAGGCATAGACGGTTTAGTATCTCGGTCTGCGTTTGACAGTGTTCTGATAGACTGTGCCAGAACAAATGGGATTATGTAACATTCTTGTTGTTATTCAAGCAGTCACTCCCCATCCCCTCTCTCTCTCTTCTGTTTTTTTGTCTCCGTGACAGACATTTTTAGCTATTAAGAAGTTCATTTGGACTCAACAGACCAAGTAAATACACAATGGGTTGTGTAAATGCCTTAACATTTAACATGGCCTCTGTGGAATGAGATGAAATTTACAGGAATGGACATGTTTTCTGTTTTATTGAACAAAACAATGCAGTGTTTAAATATTGGTGATTTATGTGTCTGTATGTGTAGTGACACCCAGGGATGACGAGGACAAGCAAGAGAAGGCTCTGTCACAACTATATGATACCATGCCAGAGGGACGTTCTCCTCTTGACATTCTAAAGGATAAGGAGGAGAGACGGCGGATAGGTGAGAGGCTCCTACATACAGACCTGTCTGGCTACAGAGTGTAAATGATTGGGATATACCAATTAAGCACACTAAACTAACATTTTCTGTCTGTTTGCTCAGGTAAAGCTCATCTGCAGCGCTCCATCATGGGACACGAAGAGGCCATCCGCACACATTCTCGCTGTCGACACCTGCAAAAACTGGACATCCTGAGTGACATCCTACAAGCTGGCCTCAAGCGCGCTCTTACCAAGTTTGAACAAAACGACAAGGAAGATGAGTTCACAGACTACATGCTTGCGCCAGATATCATCTGTGAGTCTGAGACAGACAACTGATATTAATGGTCACACTAGACTTTCTACTTTCTAACATTTTTACAGTCACTGCAACGGTCGTAATATGATGTCACACTCTAAAAATATCTACTCCACTTTATTGCAACACTGCAATCCTGCAGATTTAAAATTAGTGTTCTTTTAATTCAGCTAAGAGTCATGCCTTCATGATAGAAATTCGGAGGGCAGAGTTCATTAAACTTGAACATTGGAACACTGTGCAATTCGCATGAGCTTGCATTTCCTGTCTCTCACATTTGCATGAGTATTATGGAAGTCAGTGGAGCGAAAAGTGTAGTGTGTCAGAAACGCATTTAAGCATGACACATTTGTATCATAAACACTAATACATCCGGATGTGTCCTGGCTCATTTGAGATGCATGTTGCTTACTGGTATAAACAAATGTTCTGTCTCGCCTGATCACGTGATTGGCTCATTATGTAGAAAGTTGTTATAGTTTGTTTGTTTAAATCTAAAAAGTGTCCTATATGCAACGGTGAGTTTGTTTTGGCCGAAGCATCGCAGTTTAAACTGCAGAATAGTCAGAATAGAACCTGCATCTTACCGTAGAGAACCACAGTGTTTATGTAAGTTCAATTGACAGTGTAAATATGCTGTAACCCTGTTTTCTTCCTCCTCTGTTAGCTAAAACAGAAAAGAAAGCTGAGATGGAGATTCCAGCTGCCACCAAGGTGAAAGTCAAAGACCTATTCCAGCGGCTGGTATGTGGGCTACTAATTTTACTCAAAGACATTTCGAGCTCTTTTCACAGCACAGGAATGCTCTTGCAAATTTGCAGTTTTCTTAGTACACCGAATAGTTTTACACAACATCAAAGTATCCTGTGAGCATGTGTGCTGTTGAACAGACCCATGTTGATTGACCTGTACACACTGGCCAAACAGACCACAACCTCAACAATCCAAGGTTCCAGTTTCGTTAGTAAAACCAAAATACTGCAACCAGTTGGGAATGGCACCAAGTTGTAATTTTTGGGGAATCTGTTTGGTCAGTCTGTAGAGTATTATACTCCTTTTACAATACTAATATGAATAACCCTGGTTTGAACATGAATTTCAAAGTTATATGACATCCTGTTACTATGACTTTATGAAACTCAAATCAACTTTGTCATCACTATTACCTAACTCATACTTTGTGTTAGGGGTTTGAACAAACTCCTAACCTTAAGTATTTAATGTTGGCACAAAACTCATCCTTCACTATTTGTCCACAGACAGATACTTATTGAACAGCTTGTTGAGGGGAGATGTGCTGTTACATTTTAAAGTGTTTTTTAAACTTGATTCCTCCTAAAAACATTCGTTTTTAGGAGAAATAAAGTGTATAGGATTGTCACAGTGTAAAGAGTGTAACGTTATTTTGGATTATTGCAGAAAATAAGCTCTGTGACCATTAAATGTTTAGAATTTGTATATGTTTTGTTCTTCAAGATAATCTTCACAAATGAACATAACTTTTATGAATTTTTGAAGCCTAAATACAGTTGGCAAAAGTAAAAAGCTAAAAGAACTTTACCACGGTCTCATGACTTCAACGCCATCATCACTAAGCTTATTACAAAATTACAAAAATTACTGGCTTCAGGACAATGGAAACGGTAGTGCAAAAATGCTAACTTTTTATGACTCATTGCTGCTTTTTTGGATTTTCATTGGGTTTTAATAAATTTTATTTATTTTTTTTCCCTAATTATGATATATCAGGACGGTTGTACCATCCTGATTGTTTTATGCCCACTCAATATAAAGGTGATTTTTAATTTAAGAATTAAAAACGTTCATCATAGAAAAGGTTTAAGTCATAATATGTTTTAACTGCATTTTTAATGTATTAAATTTAATAGATGAGACAAAAAAAAATCATGTGATGGAATTTGTCTTTATTTTGGGTTTGATTTCTGTAATACCTCAAGTCTTCATCTGCAGAAATTCTGTCAAATAAAAAAACAAGTATAACATTGTAAATCTGGTGTACAGAACTGGAACATTCGAGAACCACATTGACGTATATATTCCGTTCCCTCCGGCTGTGGGGAGCAGGGTAATTCAGGTGAAGGAGGCAGAGTTTATGATGTGGTTAGTTTTATGGAAGCGTATGTTTGAGTTTTACCGCCTTCAGATGTCTGAGTGACCTTCAGAGAGTTTAAAGAACCACTGCTGTGATCCTGTAGCAGTTGCCATGGGCACTTTAAATGACCCCCTCACTTGAATTACATTTCCGTAATACACAGGGAGTTCAGTTTTACATATAAGCTTTGCAAGTCCTTAATGATGTTGAGTGGCCTTTTTGAGGCAGAGGTCAACCATATGCTGCATATGCCTTAAACCAGTGGTTCTGAACCTTGATGACTTTAAAGGGATACTCCACCCCAAAATGAAAATTTTGTCATTAATCACTTACCCCCATGTCATTCCAAACCCGTAAAAGCTTCGTTCGTCTTCGGAACACAATTTAAGATATTTTGGATGAAAACCCACGCTGAACGCAAGCAGCGTATGCTCTTCTGTGTCAGCCGCGCTGCACGGATCCCTTTAAGGCCCCCCCTTTGTCCGAGACAATGTTCGAAGCCCCTCCTATCTATTCTGATATACCTCTGGTATTTCTGTTGTAATAAATAAACTCAAAGATATTTATCTAAGATTATGTTAACAAAATTTACATTGTTTTAAGACCTATCTGCCCCCCCTGGAAGTCTGGTATGGCCCTGTGGTGGAGAACTACTGCCTTAAACTATTCAAGCTTAACATCACCTCAGATGGCGGCGCTTTTCATGATATTATTAAATAAACTTTCTGCACCATATGAGCAAAGCCATTCGCATATACTGCGTTAAGTCAGCGTGCCAGTAAGCCAAATGTTTGGATAATGAACAGGGTCAGATTTATAGCCAAGGACGACCAGGGTGGCAAGCTAAAATTAAAAACACCCTGTGTGTCTTTAAATTTGGTGAGTTGCTATAGTGATTTGGTGTTGTATTTGTGTTGCGTAGGGGCCTTTGTCAGTGTTCTCAGCAAAGCAGAGATGGTCAGCCCCGCAGACCATCAGGCTGAGACTGCAGGACAGAGACCTCGGATTCACTCTGAAGGGAGATGCACCCGTTCAGATACAGTCACTGGATCCCCTTTGTCCCGCAGCGGTGAGTGTTTACGCATAGACACAGGCACAGACACCAATAATGTTAGTTCACCCAAAGATACGATTTTTTTTGTAATCATTCATTTACTCATCCTTATGTTGTGCAAAACCTGTATCATGTTGTTTAAAAAAAAAAGATATTTTGAAGTGTTTTTGTCCTTGTGTAAACATCTCTCTCCACCTCAGTTTTATTGCAAATGCATAATTAAGGCTGTGTCACCTTAATGAAAAGAACAAACTGAAACCGATAACTGTCATGACATTTATCAGAAGCGATAACTTCTTCCTGTTTCAATTAATCTTCTTTGCATACGTGTAAATGTCCCTGAAGCTGAGGACAGATTTCATCTTTGACCACAGCAATTGAATGAAAACAAAACACACATTTATCCACGCCCACTGCACCTGTTTTTGACCATGTGAGTCGCAAGCAGCTGTGTGTCTCCCACAAATCACTCCCCTCATTTTTGTTGGAGCACATGAGCGAGTCCTCTCAGAGCTGATCTCTAGGGTAACGGCAGTGTGGTCATGCCGATAAACTCATACCATAAATAAAAGTGGAAAAGCGCCACTCTTGCAGGACGTGATTTACTTCTCTGACCTTTTTCTGTCTTTCCTTTGTTTCTTTTCTCTCCACTATCTCTTTATCACCAGGCTGAGGGGCTGAAAGAAGGAGATTACCTTGTTGCTGTGGGCGACACGGAGTGTAAATGGCTGGGAGTGAGTGATGTTATGAAGCTTTTAAAGGATGTGGATGAGGAAGGCGTCAACATCAGAGTGGTCAGCATATTGGATAGCAGCAGCCAACCAATGGTAACTTCATTTGTCTCGAGGTTTATTTACCTGCCATTCTCTGATTGGATGAGGAATTCTATTTAATATGTTGTAATTAGGTTCATTTAGATAAACTAAAATTAACAAAATAGTTACGAATAGACACTACTGTAAGATTTTTTGTAGGGATGCACCAATACCACTTTTTCCAGTACTCGCCCGATACCGATACTTTTATTTTTGGTACTTGCCGATACCGAGTACCGATACCAATATTTTTATTGCATTTGTACATTTTTTAAATATTGGGTACAGAAACCAAAAGAGTATGTATAATGTTGGTTGGTTAACTTAATTTATCAAATAGATACAGTCAAACCAAAATTTATTCAGACACCTTCAACATTTCTCACATTATCACAGTTTATTTGCTATAGTTTAGAAAATGATAATAAAATATGACAAGAACTCAGAGTTAGAACAAATTCAGCTTGATAATGTTAGATAACTTTGATAGAAAGGTATGTAATGGATTACAATAAACCAAAAATTATCGGGCCCGATACCGATACCAGTATCGGTATTGGTGCATCCTTAATTGTTTGTTTGTTTGTTAAAAGAAATTGATACTTTAATTCAGGAAGGATGCATTAAATTGATAAATGCTGTTCTTTTGAACTTTGTATTCATCAAAGAAGCCTAAAAAAGCAGCAGAACTGTTTTAACATTGATGACATTTTTTTTCTAAATTAGCATATTAGAATGATTTCTGAAGGATCAGATTTGCATTACAGAAATAAATAACATTGCAATATAAATGTTACTGTATTTTTCATCAAATAAATGCTGCCTTGGTGAGCATAATAGACTGCTTTCAAAGATATTAAAATCTTACCAAGAATTAGTTCACAGTCTTTGATCACAAAATAAAAAGCACATTAACATCACAATATTCACAATGTATGGCCATGTGAAATTCATAAAATTTTTTATATATATTCGATTATATCCTCTAGCTTTACCAATAACTGAACTCCTTTTCACCACTGAACGTTAATGTTTCTGTCAGTCAGGATTCATAAGCTGTTTATGATAAGGTCGTAAGATCCGTGTCTGCTGTGTGAAATCTTATTTTCACATTTAAGGGTCTTGCTGTTGGTTTTTGTGAATATTTGTGGGTGTTGATAGACTGTGTAAATAAAACAGCAGCAGAACCAAAAGCATAATACACTGATGACTAACTCATAATAGAATTACATTCTCATTAAATCAACAAAAAGGCTCACGTAATGTAGCCAGGTTTGTGTCATAGAGTAACCGAAACCCATACAAGTGCATGTAATTTTAGACATGGTGATCTTAAGTTTGCTGTAGATAGAGCGTGGAACTGTGATAATTGTATTTTAATGTTTAATTCAATGTAATTTTTTTCTAATGTTATAGGTTACACTGTGTTAATAGCAACCTCTTGCAACATTCGGTAAAGAAGTAGTTCACCCAGAAATACTTATTCTGTAATTATTTACTGAACTTCATGTTATTCCATATACCCTTGCTACTGTGCTAGCTCCTGCGTTAGGCTAACTGAGACTTGTTGTAGCACTTGTATATCATTGCTCTTTTGTTGATTTTGATTGCTTCCATTGTCCTCATTTGTAAGTCGCTTTGGATAAAAGCGTCTGCTAAATGTAAATGTCAAAGCTTAGTGAGTATTTAATTTGAGTATTCAAAGTTTGCAATTCAGATCAAGTATTGCTAAGAGTTTAATCACCTCTCCTCTCTTTCTATTTCTGCAGCCCACCAAGAGTGCTACATACGGCGGTCTGCCGAAGACCTACTCTATGATCTGCTTGGCACATGATGAGGATGATAAGAACCCGAAGTCTCGCAAGGTAGCAAAAAAACCGTCATTCCTCAGCTGGGGTCTCAAGAACAAGCAGAAGAGCAGCAGCACGCTGAGTCTCCCCAATGCAGATTACAATGGACCCTGGAACAGACCCTGCCCTACCTATCCTAACTCCTATAACGAAAGTGCCCTCTACTAAACACACAAAACTGGATTTCTACGTACGCTGATGGTGTAACAACACTATATTACAAGAAACGAGAGAGGGCTTTTTAGAAAGATTGAAATTACAGATGAAAATGTACATTTTGCACAGATCTACAGTATAAACACAGGTGTAAGCTATACTTTTATTCTTTCGTTAGTTTGGTTGTCTAGAAAATCTCACCAATAAATTAAAGGTGGAAATTATGTGTTTTAACAAATCAGTAGATAAACACACAATGTGTATGCTGCTCAGTATTTTTTTATTATTATTATTGTTTGTTTGTTTTATTGTTTTTGTATTGAACGGTTAAATGGTGCGATGAAGGATTTTTTCTTTTCTTTTTTGGAAAATTCCACTAATTAGTGGCACAGACCGGCATCTTCCTCAAATAAAAATGAGGGTTGGTAGATGGGCAGGTAACCTGTGGCCTTTTTTGAGCCTGTAGCTGACTTGCAGACTACTACAGCAGGTTTCCGTGATGATCTGATATCATCGAAATGGAAATCTAACTCTGTCAATCACTGTAGAAGAACAAAATGTTGGAGAGGGCAGTGAGTAGCTTTTGTCAGAGAATGTCTATACAAACAGGAATATTATTTTGTGTAACTCAAGTATTCACATACACTGAAGGGAAATACCATGATAGATAGGGCTGTGTATAACTTAAAGGTACTGCCAAATTCAAGCAAGAAGGATAAAAAATATAGCAGTGAATACAAATGCCATTCTTATTTAACCTTTGTTCCATGTGTTTTACCTAGCACTTCTTCAGTGTTGGAATATTTCACTGTCTACAAAGTAGATTTTTATACACATTTGATAATCAAATAAATTATATGCTAAATAAAGAGAAAAAAATATCTATATAAACTTATGTATTAATTTTAAGTATTAGACGTGTTTAGGTTTTGTATTGTGAAACTGTAGCCTGATGTATATAATCATGGGTTGTTGTTTTTTTGGCTACATATCTATCTTTCTGTTACTTGGTGTATGCTCTTCTCTTTATATTGTATAGCTCAAAAAGTACAGATGGCAGCGTGTTTTTTTTCTTATATCTTTGACAATATTTAACTTTTCATTTTCTTGTAGAAAACACTGCCTCTCAGAATCCTAGAAATCAGAAGCCTTTAAAAATGCCTTACCACAGTCTACACTGACACAGTCTTATTTTACTGTGGATCTCCGCTCCTTGCTTGTAAATACTTTGTTATTGTCAATGAATGTGTCTTTACCATTTATGTTTCTGCAAGTGCCACATTTGGAATTATAATGACAAACACTCTTCTGAGAGAATGTTGACATTGTAAGGTTACATATTAATGATTCTGTGAAAAACAGTCCTTTTCTTTAGGGTCGGGACAGAATCTGCAACAGTGCTCTAAATTCTAACTTGGTTACAAACATAATAATAAAGCAGATTTCTAGATTATTTGCTCGTTTCTACAATTTATGTGGATTACCAGTGATAAGTCTGAGGAAATGTCTGGACTGTAATGAAAGGTTTATTGTTGCCTACTTTTGTGATGTATGTAAATCTTGATCTAAATAAAATAAGGGGTCAAAGCAGTGGCTGTTTTTATTGTGTAAGTGGGTACTGTGGTTATTCACGGTGTAATCTTCCCAACCACGCCAGTTCTGGTTGCATTACGTAACATTACATTATATCTTAATGCAGCTCATGCATGAATAAGCAGATAGTCTCTGTTTTGCCCTAATTCGTTCTTTTTCCAAATTGTGTTTTTTAGCCAGAAATCTGACTATAAACCCCGCAGGGTAAGTAGGTTGAGACATATTTCAAAGCCTTGCAGACCTGTGATTCAGATGTGAAACTCAATGTAAAGGAGAGCAGAATAGAGAGAATAATCTCACTGTTAGAGCATACTATAATGCAGTCAGTGGCTGCTTGAACTCTGAGAAACCTCAATAACACAAAAAGAAATTCACACTCTGTTGCTCTCTTCATATGAAAGGAAAAGCATAATTCGTGCTCTGTGCGCATGTGAATCAGGGCAATGAGACCGGTGTAGTGGACTAATGGATTTTAAATCACTCACAGACTTGGGAATTTTATGGTGTGGCTTTGGTTGGGTTATTAGAGATAGCTTACCAATGCCAGCAGGGATGTCACAGTGGTTTAGTGTGTCCGTGTGAAAGAGAAAGATAGAGAAGATGTCTTTGTATCTTCTACAGCTGGAGAACATTAAGAGAGAACATCACAAATACACTGACTCAGGACTTATTCAACCATTCAAAAACTGGAGTTTTACTGGAATGGTGTACATACCCCACCCAAGTCTGCTTTTAACTGGAACACTTTCCACCAGAGTGATTTTTAGCATGACTCACCCACTTTCTCCTCTTCAGCAGTCTTGTAAAAACAGAGGGAGCATACATTTAACCCACTTACAAATGTTAGAAGCTGATATTATTGAAACAAATAGTAGTACATCAAATACATATTTGTAGTATTTGTAATAATAAATACAAAAATGGACATGGAACAGGTTCACAGCACTGCGCAGACTTTATCTAGTGAATGTATTTGTATCAGTACTATGTCACTGAGGATTAGATACTAAGTATCGAAGGTTTCACTCCTGCAGGGCTGACTCCACAGTTAGTACACAATAGGATTAATGACTGTTAAACCTACTAGATGTGATGCTGACCTCTTTACTACTTTCAGTGCATGCCCGGTGTATTTGTAGATAAATAATAATAGCAACAGTAATAATAATATAATATGGAGTAATGAAATATGAGTAAATAGAAATGTGGAACTGTGGGGCACAACTCAGTGTGTGCCCTGTTTCTGATTACTTTGATCACTTGAAGCATTTCACAGTATTATAACATAACATATATTCTGCTTAGGTAATGAATGGTGTACATCATAGAGTTATAATTTTAGGTTATGTGTATTTCACAAGCATGTGTATTCTCTATAATGATTGGATCAGTCAGTAAGGGACATCTGTCACAAAAAATCCATTCATCCCCTGCAAAACTATTTGTTGCAGGCAGCACAGGCGTTTAGGAAAGTGGTGTGGTTTTGGTACCTTTGGTGTTCTTGGTGAAAATTACATCCAAGGGGCCTTTTATTTGGCCTTTAGCCCCATAGAGAGCTGTATGAGGGGTTCCATGTGAAGAAGTCAAATGTTTTTGGATCAAACTGATTCATGAATTAAATCAACAAAACTCTATTTAACACAATTTAAAGCAACACAACATGTAGGTGAAAGATCATGACTAGTTCTTCAAATATGGCTCATATTTTCAAGCAGGCTTTAACTTTGTTTATGTTACTTTGAAATTCTTAACAATGTCACAAAGCCTGCCAGTCTCAGCACCAAAACGATATTTTATACATTTAATTTTTTTACTAAAACAATATAAAATGACTCGTAGACAACAGAAAAGTCAAAAATGCAATGACAACTAAGACATCCGCTTTTATTTTCTCAAACACCCTTTTCCACGTGTTCATGGACTTCAGTGGACCAGACGTCCCTCTACTGGAGAACTGCCGCACTCAGACGTGGCTCGACGCCGTTGCTACGAGGATTAAACGGCAACGCTGATTGGTTGAGCGTGCACAAGTGAACCAATAGGAGGAGTCGATATATTTCAAGGGTTTTCATGGAAAGCGTCTAGTTACGTGAAGTTGAGTTGAAGCTAATAAGATTTAGATGACAAAATTAATGTCGTTTTATAAAAAATAAACTATAAAACGCTGTCAGTTTCTCGCTTAAAACGTAGCTTTGCCACACGATAGTTCTGAAATGAGCTCTCCTGACCGCGGCTTTCATAAATCCTAATGTCAAATCTCTCACCGAAACGAGGAAGTTTGCTGAGGACCATGTCATCCAAATTCAACTTCAGTTTCAGAAGAAGAGAGAAGAAAGAATTTGTAAGTCTTCTATCGCGTAAATATGATTATATAAGTTACATTTTTTGGTGAACTAATTTAGCTGCTAAAAAGCCTGTGTTACTAAGCAATCTACAAAAAGACACATTAATTCAGACCTCAGTATTTATTTTCTTAGCAGTGGAACTGGATTGGTTTAACACGTGAATCCTGTGATGTAGTTGTGTCGTAAATGTAATCCTGTGTGTTGTTGTGGTTGTTTAGCGGAACATAGTTCATGGCTTGATCCCTGCTGCCACCATTGCCCCCAGACCTGCTGTTCCCCGCACTCCTCCCCCACGAAGCCCCAACCCCTCTCCAGAGAGACCCAGGTATACCCACATACCATATCCCTATCCATTCATATCACTTTTGTTCTCCTCCTACATTTTTCTCATCTCTCAATGCATTTATGATCTTGAGAACCTATTAAATCACTCATCATTAGCCATAACGTTTTATATAACTAACTGTACATACCTGTTTCAATATCTTTAAATCTGTAAACATTGTAATCTCTCTGATAACTGTCACAGGTCTGCCTTGGCAGCTGCTATATTATCTTCCTCCCTAATGGGCCGTACTGTTGCCATTCCTCCTCCACGGCAGAGGTCTTACTCTGAGAGTGATTGTTCACGTGCGGACAGCCAAACTGGCTTTGAGCCCTATGCTGCCACTGCACTTTATACCAGGTATTATGGTGCACTGTTCTGATTGACCTTAATCATGGATTCCTGACCATTTATTTTGCCAGTGGGACACCTTTGACAGGAAGTATTTACCTGAAGTCCCCCTGAGAGTTTAAGTTAATATTTTAATAATTTAACAAACACATCCACATGTTCATGGTTCTCTGATGTCGGTTAAAGAAAATGGTCACATGATATGGAAGTAAACAAATATTAATTTATTTTTTGTAAGTGTTTTATCTTGATTGCTTTTATTTAAACTAATTTATCTATTTTATTGGTTTGATTTTGTTTTGTTATTTACTTTTCTTACTTATCAGTGGTGACTATGTCAAAGTGATGTCCAGACTAACTCAGAATTATGGCAGAAATGTACAGTTCTAGATGTTATTAAATGATATTAAAGGGGTCATATGATGCGATTTCAATTTCCTTTCTCTTTGGAGTGTTACAAGCTCTTGGTGCATAAATAAGATCTGTAAAGTTGCAAAGACTAAAGTCTCAAATCCAAAGAGATATTCTTTATAAAAGTTAAGAGTCAGCCACACCTACCTAAAACGGCTCGTTCTAACACGCCCCCACATATCTACCTCACTATGTGGGAAGATTTGAATAACGCCGCCCAAATGTTCACGCAAAGAAAGAAGGCGTAACTTTTATTCTCGCTGTAGTATTGTTGTTGCCGCCGCCATGTCGTGAAGACGCTGTGTGCTTCGTTGTGAAAGCGAAACTACTTTGTTTGGTCTTCCAAAAGAGGACGATATCCGCTTCGTCATGCCTAGAGCTGATCTGTGCTGGTCGCTGAGGGAATACATCAACTTTCACCGTGGACAAAGCGGAGTCCAGCCCACCTCAGCTCACTCTATCCCGGCCTCAGCGCACGCTAAGCCGGGGCTTCCCCTCACGCTAGGCCGCTGTGTTTTTCGTTGTGAAAGCGAAACTACTTTGTTTGGTCTTCCAAAAGAGGAC